GGAAAGAAAAGTGCACATTGACGCGATTGCATAAATGATAAATGGTCCCTTTTTTTGTTTTAGCTGCGATGTGCACACGTAAGTTCCAGAATCAGAATTAGAGAAAGTTAACAACAATTTCTAACACGTGCAACATTTGTCCTCCAATCATTCATATTAGACATGTCATGTGATACTTTTTCATTTTTTCTTTGAAAGATCAGAATAACACATCTAATCACAAACAAGTTTCCTTTTTGTAATATATGATGATACTTTTTTTTGTTGACATTTATGATCACCTTTTATGTACTAGAACAAAGGGAAAATTTGTAACTTGTTTGGTGTAAGAAAATATTTTTATTTTTAATATTCGCCTTAATTTTCCCTCAACGATTGTATAAGACACTCGTTTGATAAAGATTTAAAAAAATGTTTAAGAAATCTGATTGTCAGATTTAAACGCATAAAAAAAATCACGAATATTGGCTAATATGGAGAACTCGGTAACGCAAACAAAAGTAGAAGCAATGAAGCCTTTTAATTTTAGTTTCTGGGCCCATGAACATTTTTTATGTTGGGCTACATGATGACCTAGCCCACGTGGCCCAGTAGGAAGGAGGGGGCATATTCGGCAATGAAGTAAAAAAAATAACGACCATGAAGAGTTTCTCTTTCCTCGTAACAGAATTCCAACAAAATTTAGTGTTTACTCCGTCCACATGCCCTTGAAAGAGCGACATGTGTCCTCTTATTTTTCCTATATGATTCGTACCATTGTAATTGTTGAATCAACATACAGAGGATAGAATATAATAGAATAGAATAATAATCACAATGCCCACCACAGCTACTGCATCTCTATCCCCAAAAAGTAACCTTGAAGTTGAATCCCCAAGGAAGAATAGAATTCAGGTTTCCAACACTAAGAAACCCCTATTCTTTTACGTCAATCTTGCCAAGGTACTATCATTTTTTTCAATTTCCTTATTCTTTTACATTACTTAATTCCTAATCCAAGCAATGCACATTGTTTTTCTTTATTTTTTTCATTTATTAACCTCTCTCTTCTTTAAATGCTCTCATTGCTTAGATCTGCAACTAAGAAAAGTAACACTATTCTTTATGCAATCATTGAATTTGTTGCTTTGATAATTTATCAATCTCAATTGCTCATACAATTTTCACAGGCTTTGTTGTTTTTATTCTTAATACTAAAAAAGTATTTTCTTAACAAAATGACAACATATAGAAAGTTCACCGGTGATTATGTGCATAATGCTAAAATTGAAATAGTTTCTCCTTTGACACAGAGGTATATACAACAACGTAATGAAGTTGTGCTTTCTGCTCTTGGAATGGGTATTTCCTCTCAAACTTTTCTTTCATCAAAAGATCTTTCTTCTTTGAATGTATTAATTTATAAACTCAAGATTTTCTATGCTATTTACTCCATATCATGTGTAGTTTTGAGGACATTTGTATATTCATGTTCATTAAGTTAGTGTGTACCTCTCTACAGCTATAACTACAGTTGTTACAATTGCTGAGATTTTGAAGAATAATGGGCTTGCTACTGAGAAGAGTAAGATTTATCTTGTTATGCTAATGTCTCAATTACAAGATGATTAATTGTAGCTATCCTAATCAATATTGTGGGATGAAGCAGAAGTTTTGACATCTTCAATCAGCATGAAGGATGAGAGCAAAGGTCGTTTGGTGCAAAAGGCTAAGGTGGGTTCCAAGTGGATTTTAGTTTTAGTTTCTAGCAACTTTATTTGGACCTATTATGGTAATTTTGATGACTTTTTCATTATTTTATAGATTGAAATTATTCTGGGAAAATCTGAGAAGTTTGACAATCTGATGGCTTCTGCCAACACTGAATCAAAACCAAGTGCTAATGACAATGACAAGAAATCACAAATATAGGAGAGTCTGGCCAATGTGCACCTTATGTAGTTAACTTTGAGTTTCTCTTAGTGCTATTTACATCCATAGACGTACATAGGAGACAAGTTAGATAATTGTTTTTGTTGTTTTAATCCATGAGAAAAATAGTCATCAAGTTACAATGATAAGCCACCACTGAGTGAGTCAAACATATATAAATTCCCATATATACGATGATTGCAAGATCCTTAAGTTGATTAATTACTTTTTATTTTTTCTTATTCGCCTTTTTTTTTATGAGGCGAGATATTTATCAACTTTATCAATCTAATTGATTTAATTTCTTCTTTGTGGTAAAATTCTTTATATATGTCTTGTTACTAGTTACAAATGCTGACTATTGGTGAAACTTTTGTAACGTTGTCCTTCTCGTAAGTTATATTAATGAATTGTTCTTGTTTCACGCTTTCCCCCATGTAAAATGGTACTCCACTTGAATCAATTAATTGATGATATAACTTCTCGTCTTCAACAAATATTATATAGCAGTAGAATCACCACATAAATAATTAGGATTTCTCATAAAAATTATTAGGATTCCTCATGAAAAATGTCACACTACACACAATTAAATTAACTATCAAGATTCTTCATCCAATCTACCTTCTCAGTATGATGCTTTAAAAAAAAATTCACTTGAACGAAAATCTTAGAACTTTTCTTATTTCATATTTTCTTAAGTAGTGTTTGTTTTAAGATATATGATCATATTTTGACATTAATATTTTTAAAGTTAAAATGACACGGACAAAGAATGGAATATAAAAATTAAAAGTATTTACTTTTATTATTTTATCATAAGTTGGTGCATAATCACTTTAATTTGATAATAATGTATAATTTATTTTTATTGGGTCAATTAATATAAAAATAAAGTCATGACTTCATGTTTAATGTAGAAATCAAATCTTTATCTTTAATTAAGGAATACAAATGTCGAAATACTTGAATTAACAATTTTTTGACATTTTACGCATAAAAATATTATTTCCCAAGTCTTTATATTTTTTTTAATTAAAAAATATTAATCCTTGAAACAATCACAAAGTAATATTAGCATTAAGAAAGTTATTTTCTTACAGGTTAAGCAACATATGGTTTAATTTACTTTTTTCTCAGGATTTGAAGGGGGATAGTTAAAGGAAAATAATAGGAAAGTATTAAAGTAAATATTTCAATTGAATTAGAATGATAAAAAATGTTTGATATGTTTTTTTTTCTAAAAAGAAACAGGAATATCTAATAGTATAAAATACTCATTAACCCATATCTTTATATTACTCAGATTGCAAAACCTTCTCATGTTTAGGAATTTGGAAAACTTATGCTAAAGACCATTAAGAATCAATATTTAATCTAAAAGGACAAAAAATGTTAAATTTATGAGAAAAAATATAAATATAATGAAAAGAAATGGAGAGAGATTAAGGTAAAGGGAATAAAGAAATTAGTTAGAATATTTCTTTCCTCGTGATCTTTTTTAAAAAGAAAACACACATATATATATATATAAACATAAATAAGAAAAATAGGGTTATAATTTGTAATATGATAATAAAAGGAATACTAAAATTTTTATTTTATATTTTTCTAAAGTTATTTAAAAAATAATTGATGGTGATAAATTTAAAAAAATAAAGTGAAAAATAATTCTGGTTTATAAACAGTAACAAAATCCGACAAAATTGTTAGCTAGATAATTGATTGTGAGGAAAAATAAAGTTAAATTTAATATTGTCTTCCTCTAAAAAAATTAGCTTACGACTGGAAGATACCTCGAGCAACAGTTGATAAAAAAAAAATTATACCCAATTGAACTATTTTATCGATAAACTTTAAAATAATTTCTCAAATGTTTACAAATTGTGATTTATTATTCAGTTTTTTTTTATAGAAATAATATGTTTACAGTTATTATTATAAAATTATTTTATTCCCCTTTATGAAATGTTTTTTATTCTTATTTATTTAAGATCATTTTTATTTGGTTAAAACCTTATTTTGGTTCCTTATAATCTTTTTTTGTTTCAATTTAGTTCCTCATTAATTTTTGGTCTCAATTTGGTCCCAAATTAATTAATTAGTTTTAATTTAGTCCTAAATTAATTAATTGGTTTCAATGTGGGACTTTCCGTCCAAATTGCTTTAACGGTGTTAACTTTTGGTCACGTCGACGCCACGTAGATGCATACGTGGCATCCACGTGGATGAGAATTTTTTGAAAACACCTGGACCCAGAACGGCCCGTTCGGAAACCGGAACGGGCCGTTCTGGGTGCGCTTTTGGTGTGTTAATTTTGCATCCGGAACGGCCCGTTCCAAAGTGCAAAATTAACACACCCAAAATGCACCAGAACGGCCCGTTCCAGTTTCAGAACGGGCCGTTCCGGTTTTATTTTATTTTATATATATAAAATATTAATAATTTTATAAAATATATATTATTAATTATATTTTAATTATGTTATTATATCTAATAAAATAAATATATTAATATTTTTTATATTTTATTTTATTATGTTTATCTTATTAATTTTTATCATTTTATTCCTTTAATCTTAAATAAGTTGCAAAAAATTATAAAGTGATATTCCTTTTATCTTATTAATTATTATATTTTTTAATAAAATTAATTAAGAATATTGGTTTAATTGCATTTTTTATCCCTCAAGTATTACAATTGTGCAGTTTTGTGATCTCCAAGATTTTAATTGCATAATTTTAGTCCTTAAAGAATTGCAATTGCGCGATTTTGGTCCTTCAATTTTTAATTGAACAATTTTAGTCCCTCAAATATCATAATAGTATGATTTTTGTTTCTCCCATTAAAAATTAATAATTTTAATATATATATATATATATATAATGTTTTAAAATTAAATAATTATTTATCTATTCAAATTAACGTATATTATAATTTTCGATATTATATCAATAATATTATTAATATATTTATAGATAAACTAATAATTTGATAAATATAACTTGTTATATATTAATATACTTTTACAAAAATATAAGTATATTAATTAGAAATATATATCTGATCTTATATATTTATATTTTTGTAAAAGTATATTAATATATATTAAGTTATATTTATCAAATTATTAGTTTATTTATAAAAAGGGTAAAAATATTATTGATATTAATTTATCAATAATATTAAAATACTAATAATATATAAATTTTATTTATTTAGTAATAGTAAATATATATCATTTGATACATTAAGAAAAAAAAATATACGTTAATTTAAATAAACAAACAATTGTATAGTTTTAAAACATTATATATATATATTAAAATTTTAAAATTATTAAATTTTTAATGAGAAAGACTAAAATTCCACAATTATGATATTTGAGAGATTAAAATTGTTCAATTAAAAATTGTGAGACTAAAATTACACAATTATAATCTTTTAAGGACTGAAATTACTCAATTAAAACCTTAGAGATCAAAATTGCATAATTATAATATCAAAAACACAATTAAGTGGAGAATATTTTATTCACAGTTCTGGAACGGGACGTTCTGAAATCAGAACGGCCCGTTTTGATTTCAGAACGGCCCGTTTTGATAACAGAACATCCCGTTCTTATTTCAGAACGGCCCGTTCTGATCCACTAGTGGTGTTTTAATTTTGCAACCAGAACGGCCCGTTCCGGTTTCAGAACGGTCCGTTCTGGGTCCAGGTGTTTTCAAAAAAAATTTCTGTGAATGCCACATATGCATCTACGTGGCGTCCACGTGACCAAAAGTTAACACCGTTAAAGCAATTTGGACGGAAGTCCCACATTAAAACCAATTAATTAATTTAGGACTAAATTGAAACCAATTAATTAATTTGAGACCAAATTGAGACAAAAAATTAATGAGAGACTAAATTGAAACAAAAAAGATTATAAGGACCAGGATAGGATTTAAACCTTTTTATTTTCTTACAAAGCTTTTACTTGCATGTCACTTTTCAATTCAAAACATTTATTATACCAAATTCCACCATAATTCACATGAAAAAAAAAACAATATAGGTAAAAGTATATTCATTTAAATACCATAAACTTCAATTTTATAGAATTTTACATTAAATTGGGTTGAATAATTTTAGTTGAGAGTTGAAAGATGAGAGAAAAGAAGAAATGTTGGAAAAAGATATGTTTAGCTGAGTTGAGTGGTTGGGTGATGACATTAACATATAGTTTCTGCTCCATTGGATTCAGATATATAACACTTCTCTCTTCTCTCTCACTTGCCTTTCTTCTTCTTCCTCACCCCAAAACCCTAGATTCGTTATTCTTACTCTACCTCGTCTCAATCACTACACTGACTTGTTCAATTATTTGTTAGTAGCTTCTCCCTTTTAGATCCAGTTAATTTGAATCCTTTCTGCTACTAAGATTGCATGTCATGTTTCGTTTCTGCCATATCTATACTACAACGTAACTTAATTTGTGTTTTGGCAGTGAAACCTCGATGGCTGAAGTGGATCAGAACACTGGCGGGGAACACGACGTAGAGGAAACAATTGAGGCGGAAGAGCACGGCGGTGAAGAGGTGGTGGTTGCTGAGAAGAAGTGGCCGGGGTGGCCCGGGGAGAGTGTGTTTCGGATGTTGGTTCCTGCGCAGAAGGTTGGGGGCATAATTGGACGTAAAGGAGAGTTCATTAAGAAAATTGTGGAGGAGACACGAGCTCGCGTTAAAATTCTTGATGGTCCTCCCGGAACTGCACAAAGGGCTGTAAGTTTCTTCAAATCATCAGCTAATACTGTTTAATGTTGTTGATACTTCTGCTGCTTGTTATTGGAATATTATTGATCTGGCTTCTGGAATGTTTACCATGCACTTTTCTCTCTCCCTCTTTTTTTTTTTTTTTTTTTTTTTTTTT